TAATTAGCACATTTAATACACGGGTTTGACAACTGAACACATAATTTTAATTTAACTTTTTCATGTTTTTTTTTTCATAACTTTTACTTATTTTAAATTTCAAATTCAAATAAATTTGCCGTTTAATCATTTGTATTTAACATTTTGTTATAATCAATTTATACGAGTATTACAACTAGTTTTAAATATAATAGTGTATACATCTGTTAAGTATTGACTTTGTAAATAACAATATGATGAAGTTAAATAAAAGCTAAATATATTTTTAAATGTGAAAATGACAATTTAAGCTAATGTCATTGTACGATTTTCAAAAAAAAAAGCCAAGAATTAACAAAATTACCCAAATAGCTACAATTTTTACAGATTATCACTAGTTAAAATCAAGTTGGCTTGCTCTTTAAAAAAAAAATCAAGTTGGCTTGCAGTTTATTTTAATTTAGATTTTCGCAAGTCATCACATGCAAAAATCTTGGTGGCCTCCGATTTTTATTTTTTTTTTATTTTTTTTTTATATTTTGTGACTTTTGCAAATCACCACCTTCGATTATATAGATAACCTATAATTATTGTTATTATTTTTTGAATTTTTTATGTTAGAATACATCTTATACCTTTATTTTAACAATAATACGTAGACGAAATACGACATCTAGATACCCATATGAAAAAAAAAATGCGATCTTTGGAAAATTTTCAGAAACACCTAACTATTCTACTTTGGAGCTTACAAAATACGACTTTCTGATATTTAAATACCAAATGTGATATATACATGGATAACCCTTGTTACAAAGAAGACACATAAAACAAATTAAGTAAAATAAAGCTCGTATGTGAAAGTTATGAATGTTTAAAGTTAGATATTTTTTTTTTCACCACGTCCATACTTTGAAACTAAAAATGTATTACTTTCCGACATTCAAATTTGAAGTGTAATATATTAATGGATAACACTCGTTACAAAGAACATAATGATAAAAAAAACCCCAAACACAGGAGTTCATATGAAAGAGGTATAAATGTTCAACGTTAGACAAAAAATTGAAATCTTCAATTTACAAGAAGAATATTGTTTTTTTAACATCTGCTGTGTGCTACATATAATAAGTTGATTTTTTTTATTTAAAAGATTGTTTCAATAATTGTAGTTTTACAATATTGAAACTAAATTCATACAATGACATGATAATGTTTTTTTAATCATTCATTCTACATTTTGCATTATCTAGTCAACAATTTGATCTCGTAATATTCTCAGTCCACTAAACTTCCATAATGTTGAACTTCGTCCTCATCATCATAATAATAATCATCATCATCTTGTACATGATTATTCTGAAGTGACACACTGCTTTATCGTATTCTTAAAAAACTCGCCACTCACACCATCTTTTCGTATAAATATGAAGTGCAAAACATGGAATTATAATGTTTATTATGTTATTGGTTCTTTTCGTATAAATATGAAGTGCAAAACATGGAATTATAATGTTTATTATGTTATTGGTTGGTTGTCAAACCAACAAATGAAAGAGATAAAAATAACAAAATAACAAGTCACTGCTACAGTATACTAAGAGATAGTATAGAGTAAACATGGTCAAACTACTGAGATACGAGCCTTATTATTTGATCATATTTTCACACGACACACTATCGGTTGTTAAAATTTTTAACGGGGGGTTTTGTTAACATCAATTGAAAATTTATAAATAAACAAAATAAACACTAATATTCAGAAATTAAAAGACATTTCTCTTTCCAAATTCTATTCAAGTACTATGTTGTTAGATGTAATGTAACATCAATTCATGTTTAATCTAGATTGGTAATTAAATATTAATATGCTCGAATATCTTAAAATTGCCAAAAGTATTTTACTCAAATTATGATCTTTAAGTAAAACTTCATCTAGTTGATCTAATCCAAACAAGTTCTTGAATCAAATCACCAAGAGACTTTAAGCTTAATGCAATTATTACCAATAATGTTCAATATTCTTCATATGTTCAGGAATGTAAAAACATCTAAACTTTGATTACATTTATTTTGATTCATTTGAAACCAATTAATTGTTTGTTAAATTTCAAATCATAAAATATGTACGAATTTTGACAATTTGGATAACAAAAATGATATGAACCTTAACTTCATTGATCAAGTCAAAAGAATATAAATCAAACATGTAATGAAAACCAAATCAAAGATAACTGTATAAAAACATGAAATTAAGTTCACAACATGATATAAAGAACACGTATTTCAAAATCTAGAACCAGAAATGAAAGGAAAGTTAGCCATACATGACTAACTTATAACACAAGTGCAACTAGTTTTGATCTTAAAAAAACTTACAATTTCAAAGAAAAAATGTTTCCAAAGTGCTAATCAACAATAAGTTCTCCCAAATTCGCCTTCTTCAAGTCTCCAATCGAAGTTCTTCCAAAAGTCCCCAAAAAGAATGGATGAATCGGGCATTAAAACCGCAAAACTGCCAAAATTGCATTACATGGTTCGTGTAATGTTTTGCCTTGTGAAAACACGAATGTGTAATGGAAAAGCACATTGTTATGGTTTATTTTCGCATCAGCTGAAATTTGGGTGCAGTTTCAAAGCGTGACCGTGTAATGATATTATTGTGCTGAAAATCCACAAAACAAGCTCGCGTAATGGCACGAGTAACAGAAGAGCTGGCCGTGTAATGATCTAAGAAAAGTCCAATTTCTGTTTTTCTAACTTCTTCAATTTAGCTCTTGATACGTGCGAGATATACTAGTTTTAATCCTAACTAACTTAGACAAAAACCAACACACGATAGGCAGTGTACCTACTCGAATAGTAGTTTAGTGCAGGTAAGTAAGGTATCGAACACAGAGAATAGTAAAAACAATTAAAAATATTACTAATGTTAACTAATTTTAGCAATGATTAAAGAGGGGGTTTCTCTAGTTTTACAATACTAGAAACTTAGACAATCAATTAAGCACTTAACAAAGAAACAATTAATGATTAATTGAAGAACAAAAGACGATAGAATCAAGAATATTAAAGAGACTTCCGTTTAGATACGATTCACTTACTCCTATGGTTGATTTCGTGGCAAGTACAATGGATTAATGTATCATCAATTACTGATTTCTAATGTGATTAGGTTCATGTTCACTATTACTAATCTTTTAGCAAACAAATCAATTCAAACAGTGATTAGTTGATTAAACTAACAAGTTCACTAGTATTAAGTTCGAATCATGCAAGACTTGTAATGATGGTTAATTAAATTGGTTGGTTCAATTAACTCATATATGGTTGGTCATCATATATAGCTCACATATTAACTTAATTATTTTCTTATTAACCCTAGGTTATGCTCACAACACTAGGCTTACAATCTTGATGGTAACAAAATCATAAGAGGCAAGCAATCAAGAAGATGTTCATGCAATCTCAATTTATTTAGTAATTAACAGAAAATAATTATCATTAACACACAAGGTTCTTTTAACAAGCTTAGCATGATAAATAATTAAATCAACATAATCCAAAAACACTAAATCAACACATAGTCATAAGATCCTCTATTCTAAATGAAAGTATGGTGTTTAGCCCATGACTTCAGCATAAACAATCATAAAAACGAAATTCAATATTGCAAACATGATGTAAACAAGAGAATTAAGTAAAATAATGATGATTTGCCTTTGATCTCTTCAATAACAAGCTTCTAGTCGAATTTTGAAATCTACAGCTCCTTGGGGATGTCTGTGGCCTCCAAAAATCGATAAAAACCTACCTCATTCGTTAGGGTTTCGAAAAGAAACGATCCATATATAGATACTGAAAAACGGTGCAACACGGCGTGTTTTAGGACCCAACACGTCGTGTTCTTCATTAAATACGTGTGTACGGCAAGGCAATATTCCATCGCGAATTTCCATCTCGACACGCCGTGTTTGAGGATAACACGCCGTGTTCTTCTTCAATTTCTTCTTTTTCTTCAAAATCCAAGATCCAAGTTTCCAATTGTCAATTCTGCTTCCTTTTCCTTCCGAGCATGTCTTTGTTGTTGTACAAGAAATTTTCAACTAATTAAGTACCATTTGTTCAATATTTGGAACAAATGCAACATAAAATATTAAGATAATGCGTGAATTATATAATTAAATATGCCAATATCAGCTCTAAAATCCGAAACTTCGCGTAGAGCTTCCTTCAACCATCCTAAGCATATTCCAACCTTCAAACCCCTCCGAAACATCAACAAAAACTATGTAAAGTAGGAAAAAATCCTCGAAATTGTCCTGAAAATGTAAAATGCATATAAAGTTATACTAAAATGTTATGCAAGGCTTGAACTAAACATGAAATGGGTATGTAAAAGATGCATTTTATGCACCAAACAATTACCAACGAAAATTGAGTCATTTTCTTCAATATATGTAACTATGCTTTCAAGGCATCAAAATCACACTCAATGACATTTTGAAGTTTTGCATATAAGTGGTCAAAAGAATTTTTCAATGCACGTCTTTGA